AAGAGAAGAGAAGAGAAGAGAAGAGAAGAGAAGAGAAGAGAAGAGAAGAAAAGAAAAGAAAAGAAAAGAAAAGAAAAGAAAAGGCACAAAAAACCACTGAAGATAATGTGTTCAAAAGCAGAATTGGCCAAATGGAAAAAGAGGTGCAAAAATTAATTAAGGAAACAACTCCTTAAAAAGTAGAATTAGGTAAGTGGAAGGTAATGACTCCATGAGACGTCAAGAAACAGTAAAAACAAAGTCAAAAGAATGAAGAAATAGAAGAAAATGTGAAATATCTCATTGGAAAAACAACTGACTTGAAAAATAGATTGAGGAGAAATAATCTAAAAATTACTGCACTACCTGAAAGCCATGATCAAAAAAAGAGTCTCAATATCATCTTTCAAGACATAAACAATTAGATGATTGTTTATAATAATAATTGTATATAACATTAGTAAACAATTGGTTAATTTGGTTTAAAGAATTTGATAAAAAACAGCAGCAAACAAACACAATAACCTTGTATTTAACAAGTGTAAAGACTTAAGATTTTGAGGTAAGAATTCATTACTTCACAAAAATTGTTGGGAAAACTGGAAAGCAGTATGGCAGAAACTAAGCATAGATCAATATCTTATACCATTTACCAAGATAAATTCAGAATGGATACATGACCTAGATATAAAGAAATTTTACAAGAAAATTAGAAGAGGGATAGGTAGGTGACACAGTGGATATAGCATAGGCCCTGGAGTCCAAAGGACCTGAGTTCAAATCCTGCTTCAGACACCTAAAACTCACTAGCTATGTGACTCTGGGCAAGTCACTTAACCCCAATTGCTTCACCCCCCCCAAAAAAAAGACAATTAGAAGAACATGGAACATAATATTTATCAGATTTATGAATAAGAGAACAATTTATGAATAAACAAGGGATAGAGATCATTATGAGGTATAAAATGGATAATTTTTATTACATTAAATTAAAAAGGTTTTGTACAAATAAAAAATGTAACCCAGATCAGAAGGAAAGCAGAAAATTGGGGAAAAAAATTTATAGACAGTTTCTTGGATAAAGATCTCACATCTAAAATATATAAAGAACTTCATCAAATCTGTAAGAACACAAGTCATTTGCAACTGATAAATGAATAGGCAGTTTTTGAATGAAGAAATCAAAATGATTTATACTCATATGACAAAATGCTCTAAATCACTGTTGATGAGAGAAATGCAAATTAAAACAACTTTGAGATATCATTTTACACCTATCAGACTAGCTAAAATGATTGAAGGGGAAAGTGAAAAATGATGGAGGGATGTGGAAAAAATTGGGACATATTCATTATTGTTGGAGTTGTGAAGTGATCAAAACATTTTGCAGAGAAATCTGGAATTATGACCAAAGAGTTACGATACAATCTATACCCTTTGACCCAGCAATATAACTACTTTGGTTGAGGTTATGGTTTGTACTTCATTCTTGAAGAAGACCATGATATCAGGGAGATGATGACATGACTTGCAATCGACTTTGATTTGAGTGAGGAAGGGCTGAGCAAAGTCACAAGCCTTGCTTTCTCCTCCAGAGCCATCTGGATCCAATGGTCAGATATCCATCAGGATGACTGGAGATGGCAAAGGATACAGTGGATACCTTGATCCTTCTAAGCCTTTCCAGGTTCTCACTTTGAGTGAGGCAATGCCCATTCAGTGAATAGGCCTCTTTAAGAAGTGAGTTGAGTCCCATTTAATAATAATAATTATTATTATTATAAAACTGGGAGTGGAAGACCCTCACTCAGGGTTGCTGGCCAAAAGAGAAACAGTTACAATTTACATTTGCTCTAAGCCAGGAGGGCCTAAAAAAGAACCATTAAGTGGTGCGTGGGCAGGGCCCTATTGTGCAATCCACAAGATCCAGAGTGAATTGGGTTTAAGGCTTGGTCTTCAGAAAGAAATCTAGGCAGTCAACCCCAAGTTAACTAGGTAGCTTTCAGCCATCAAAATTTACTCTCCTTTGGGCAGAAAATCCTTAGGTAAGGGGAGAAAAGAGGAGAGAAGAGGAGAGGAGAGGAGACTAGATCTATTTCCAAAGATGATTAGGGAAAAAAGGAAAAAGACCTTTATGTTCAAA